CCGGCCAACACCTCTTCATTCTCTCTCTTATTTCTCGCTCCGTCTCAAACTCACGAGAATCTCTGTAAATTACCGGCGAAGATCCATATCGGAACCCATGGAATCTCCGGTCAATCATTTCTCACACATCCTCCTTGCTCATTTAAACACACGTCTCTTTGCGCAGTCGTCGACAGGTCTGCTTCTAGTGTATCACCGGAGAAGGAAGAGGAATCTAACGCGGAGGGAGTACTGATAGTTCGACGACCGTTATTGGAGAATTCCGATAAGGAATCAAGTGAGGAAGAGGAGAAAAAGTATCCAGCGAGGATCGATGCCGGTCTGAGTAAGATAGCGAAGAAGATGCCGATATTTGAGCCGGAGAGATCGGAGTCGCCGTCGTCGTCTTCCGCCGCGGCTGCTGCAAGGGCTCAGGAGAAGCCGCTTTCGGTGAATCTGGATTTATCTCTGTACAGAGCTAAAGTTCTGGCGAGGAATTTCAGATACAAAGACGCTGAGAAGATTCTGGAGAAGGTATATAACATCGCTTTCTTCTGCCATTTGGTGAAGGGTCATTCAGTAAATGATCATGCAATATCTGCTTGTTCCATCAATCAATGCGTAGGATGAAATTGGAAAATGGTTCTCAGATTTTAATGATTCTTCCAATGTTACATTAGTATAATGGAAGGTTTTTGATGAGTCTATCTGAATCATCCGTAGACCCACCATTGAAAAGAGAGATATATGTAGCTTTTAGTCGTCTACGGAATCTCTAATCTTGTCTTGTTGGGTTTTAAGTGCATAGCTTACTGGCCTGAAGATGGCAGACCGTACGTAGCACTGGGGAAGATACTGAACAAACAATCGAAGTTAGCCGAAGCAAGAATCGTGTATGAGAAAGGGTGTCAAGCTACGCAAGGAGAGAATGCATACATTTGGCAGGTGCTGTATAGTTTTGTATTTGTTTGTCTGATTTTTACATCTTGAAATTTGACGAGTTTGAAGCAATTTCGTTGATACACTTTTAGGCATCTTTGTGTTTCTCATGCTTATTATGTACTGTTGTCTCTTTTACCAACAACACAATTTTGTTAATTGGAACAGTGTTGGGCTGTCCTGGAAAACAGATTGGGAAATGTAAGAAGAGCCAGGGAGTTGTTTGATGCAGCTACGGTGGCTGACAAGAAGCATGTAGCAGCCTGGCATGGATGGGCAAACCTGGAGATAAAACAAGGAAATATAAGTAAAGCGAGGAATCTGCTCGCTAAAGGCCTTAAATTTTGTGGCAGAAACGAGTATATTTACCAAACACTTGCCTTGTTGGAGGCTAAAGCTGGTCGGTATGAACAAGCAAGGTACTTGTTCAAGCAGGCAACCATATCCAATTCGAAGAGCTGTGCCAGTTGGTTGGTAAGTGTTTTGCATCATCAGACATGTTTGTGATAAAGAGATAGGACAATGCCATTCCACAAAGGTGTATGCTAGGATAAATTGCTTGAGATAAAATGCCATGATACTGCGGTTTTCATAGAACCAAATTCTAGCCTCCTCTGTCTTTTCCTGATCAGGACTCAGTTTCTAAAGGTGGCTTATAATGAGAGGTTAAAATCTGTTCTGAATGAGCTTCTCTTTTCTTGCTTCATGTTCATTTTTATGCACAGGCATGGGCACAGTTGGAGATACAACAGGAAAGATTCCCAGCTGCTAGAAAGCTTTTTGAGGTAACTGCTACATCCTCTTTTCTATTTCTCATTCACAATGAGGTCAAAGCAGTGGAGGCTGTATATTCATCCCAGGAATGACGTAGTGCCTGTTAAGCGATTGAGCTACATATGAAAGCTTTAGGCTCTAATCCTGCCTTTCCTTTTTTCACAGAAAGCTGTTCAGGCAAGCCCCAAGAATAGGTTTGCATGGCACGTATGGGGGGTGTTTGAAGCTGGAGTAGGTAATGTTGAGCGTGGAAGAAAGCTCCTGAAGATAGGTCATGCGCTTAATCCTAGAGACCCTGTTCTCCTTCAGTCCCTTGGCTTACTAGAGTACAAACACTCATCTGCTAATCTTGCTCGGGCTTTACTAAGGAGAGCATCAGAACTTGATCCTAGACATCAACCTGTTTGGATTGTAAGTATTCAAGATTCAAATTGATCGTACTTAACATAGGATCTGGTCAAATAGTTTGAGCTTTAGGTTTTGGCTAACAGAAAATTGCCCCCCTTTTTAGTTATTTGAAGTTCACTTAGTAGACCATAGTTTTACCGAGTTTAATCTGGCGAGCGAATTCAAGAGCCTTTTTTAAATCCTCTATGGAAGGGAAACTGATCGGTGATTGTGCATTCTGGTTTAGGCTTGGGGTTGGATGGAGTGGAAAGAAGGAAACACAACAACAGCTAGAGAACTCTACCAAAGAGCTCTCTCAATTGATGCAACTACGGAAAGTGCTTCTCGTTGTCTCCAGGTATAAACTAATGATACTTTCATTTCCAACTTTGTGTGCCCTGTCTCGGCGAATGAACACATTGTAAAAGTGAGAGGGCATAAGACTTAATCAGTATCAACTAAAAACGTGTTGCATATTGGCTAAAACATTTGCATATTTGGAGAATATTGAAGCAAAAGTTTGTTTCTGATAGGCGTGGGGAGTTCTAGAGCAGAGAGCAGGAAACCTATCAGCAGCAAGAAGATTGTTCAGATCATCACTGAACATAAACTCACAAAGCTACGTTACATGGATGACATGGGCACAACTTGAGGAAGATCAAGGAGACTCCGAACGCGCTGAGGAAATCCGAAACCTCTATTTCCAACAAGTAAAGCTCTTTTACACACCCTTGGTTTCTAGCATGATCTTTTAGTAGAGTTTATATTTATCTGTTCTTCATTGCAAAACAGCGCACGGAGGTTGTTGATGATGCTTCGTGGGTCACAGGATTCTTAGACATCATTGACCCGGCTTTAGACACTGTTAAAAGGCTCTTGAACTTTGGTCAGAACAATGACAATAACCGGTTAACTGATACTCTTAGAAACATGGGTAGAGCCAAAGATAGCGAAACCAATCAGCAAACCGTTAGCTCTGTGGGACGAGAGGACACTGAAACCGGTAGCGGATTCAACCTCGATGCGTTTTTACGCGAAAAACTGTCGTTGGATCCGTTGAAGCTGGACGTTAATCTTGATTCTCAGAGGTTAGGGAGATTCATTAGAGGGAAAATAAATAAGGCCTAAAAAAAAACGGGAGATTTATTGGGGGCAGTGTAAAGATGAATGGGTCCGTTTGTGATTTTGCAGTAGTATTTTAAACCAACATAAACTGCTTTTACTCCCAATTCCCAACAAAATATAAATGTAAAAAGATTGGTTGTGGTAGATTCAGCTGCATAAAGCATCATAAAATTTGGTTTGATGCTTTATGCAGCTGATTATCCTCTGTTTAAAATTTGACATTATTTGAGGCGTAGAAAATAAATTTCTGAAATAAGGAGTGTAATGTATAAAGATCTGAAAATTTGGGGCTTTTTCAGAACTAACAAAACTTCTAAATTTGTTGAACTTTTGGAAATATCCGGAAGGACTGAATTGATTTTCGAGGAAAATTGTGTATTTCAATTTTTAATTTCCCCGCGAAAGCACGACTAGCGAAATGTCGTGAATCCTGATAAACCCCGGGCAATTGCAGTAACGGCAAATCTAGGGTTTTCGAATTGGCATTCAGAGCTCTAATGGGTGATACAAACGGAGGCTCGCTCATTGAAATCGATGACCACGAAGAAGTAGAAGATCCCTTTCTCGCTTTCATCGATTACGCCAAAACGGTGATTTCGCCGGAAGAAGACGCAATTGAAGAGGACGAGGAGAGCAAAAGGGAAGCCACGACTGAGGCTAGTGGTCCGGGTTGGGGTTGGATTGCCTCGCGTATCTTGAAAACCTGTGTTGCTTATTCAAGCGGTGTCACTGCCGCGATTCTCTTGTCCGATCTCTTTCAGGTACTGCCACTCTCGATTTTGACTTTTTTTGTTTTTTGGAATTGTGGGTTTGTAGTAGGTGGGAAGCTTGTAACATTTGTTTGGTGCTTCTTCTTCTATGGAGACCAAATCAGTAATTTGAAATGTATAAATTGTGTGGTCGCTGACAAAGGAATCCCGGATTGAGAAAACAGAAGTTCGTTTGTAACTGAGAAATCGTTTTGCAGCTTGTCCATTGAGATTGTAATATTATAGGAGATATAGCTTTCACTTTGCTATTTAGCATGTTTATGTAGTGATTTCATAGTCGATTCTTGTTTGTTTATCCGCTTTTTCTTTAATGTTTTGTTGTAGGCATGGCATGAGCAAAACAAAGCAGGAATGTCAAAGAAGAAGCCGGAACTCATAGATAAGTTAAAAAAGAGCCACAGAAGACGAAGACTCGCTAATACTGTCACAATTGACTCGATTTATGAGAAGAATTTTTTGTCTATGAACAGCGTTTTGGAAGCTGTTATTATCAGCGCTGATGTTCTTCCTGGTATCTAACAAATCCTGACAGCATTTTCATTTCCAGTGCGTTACTGTGCCAAATAAGTGGTTTATTTATTCAAACATAATTATTGTTTCAGGTACAAACATTTTCATGCTTACGCTAGGGGATTTTTGGAGCTCCAACACTATTGATCTCTATCTACATCGCAGGTATGCTTATTCAGTGAAGATGAATCATAATATCGTATTGGGATGAGTGTGAATGCTTGTCTATAGTGCCGGTATAAAGATTCTTATAAGCTTTTAGTGCCTGTTGCTTAGATATTATGAGTTGGTGGAAACGCCAAATGGGATTCTTAGGAAAGGCAGAGAGGTTTTGATCACTGGATGTTACCTTCGTACCGCTAGAGAAGGATGTGGCACTCCACGGTTACTTCCAACAGAGTATCTTGTTATATTGCTAGATGAGGTTATTTTTTTTCCCAATCTTTTTTGAAAGAAAAACTAGAACTCCAGTCTTTGATTTGCCTGTAGTTAGTTCTAATTCTAACACGTCGTAGTCTTCATACGGATATTTATATGGAAAAGAAGGGTTTAGTCTTTACCTGACTCTCAAATGCTGTAGGACGAAGATGATGATGCAATACTTATAGCAGCTCAATTTTGTTCCGATACTTTCTCATCTGTTTCTCTTGATGCATTCAACAATGGAACTTCATACTCTTTGTATGCTAGGTAAGAGATTTATACGCGTGTGATATTACTCAATAGTGGTCTTGGTAAGTAACTTACCATGCACATTACTAGTTGCAAACACCTTTTGGAAGTAATGACTAGTAGTATCATTCCAAGTCTTTACATTTCAAAGTAAATTGTAGAAGGATGTGTAAAGTATCTTATCATCTTCTATTGACTTTTATTTTTATTTTTATTTGAAAGTAAATATTGCATTTTCTCCTCTTGGTTTGAGAGCAGGATTGAATCTATAGGTCCTCTGGAATCTGAACTCAAGTTTAGTACTGCACATAGAAGGCAAATTGCACTTGTAGATGGTGACGGTGTTAGTTTAAAATTTATTTTGTGGGGAGAGCAAGTCATCGTGGCAAACCTTATGAGGTAAGCTCCTGGCTGGATGCTTCTACCTTCACTTTTTCTACCAACTTGTTTCTTAAAAGGTTCGTTTTCAGTGTGGGAAGTGTGCTTGGGCTTGAGAGGCCTTATATTTCTAGTCTCGAAGAGAGTGCAATGGAAGGAAAGGATGAGTTCTGCCTTGAATATGGTAGTGCAACACATCTCTATCTAGTGCCGTCAACTTTGCAAGAAGAAAGGGTAGATGAATTTTTTTTGTTGCTCTTTTATTTGTGTCAGCTTTTTGCATTGGTTTTTTATATCACCAACGTGGAGTGAGTTGTTTGTTCGTCAGGTTTGTGTATCATTGTCCCAAAATCAGTGTCAAGGATCTAAACTGCTTGGTTCAGGCGGAGTTTCGCAGGTGACTTTGCCTCGTGATGCTGAGGGGTCTGTAGACTTCAGTAATTATCCTTTTCGGGTGAGTTGAGGTTAATATCCCATTTTAATCAAGTATGATATTAACTGATGGTTATAAATGTAGAGGCTCCTTTACCTTGTAACTTAGCTTTGTTTATTGATATTTTTATGGGAAATGTGGTAATATTTTTTGAATTTGAATCAACAAATCGTGAGACTAGTTGGTGGCTTATCGCTACAAATCCTGTTCTTATGCATGTCAATTATTGGGTTTTTTCATAACACCAAACTGCATTCACAAATCACAATCGTTACATGTTTTGCTTGTATATTACTTGTGTGCACAATATCATCTCTGTTGGAAATTCACTGCCTTGTAGGCCTAGTAACTTGGGGGGAAGAAACCAGTGGTTACTTGAGAATCTATTCCTTAGGTGCATCTGCTAATATACCTCTCCTTGGTTGAAGTTCTGCAGACGATCATAGCGGACATTCGTGACAAAACCACTGGCATCAGTCTCTATGGAGTTGTAACAGATATCTTATGTGATCCAAATGCCACAGGAGTGGTCTTTTCTTTGAAAATTGAGGACACGAGTGGAGTCATATGGGCTAAGCTCCATTTTACTAGTTACTGGTATCAAACTCTTTCATGAATTCCAAAATGACATCTGAACAGCTATTTGGAGCCTCGAACATTCTGTTTAATGAGTTGTTTATGGTTCCAGGTCGTTGGGAAGGGTAGGGCTTGGTCATCTTGTGTACGTGTCTGGGTTATCCTGTAAAGTCACAAGAAAGGATTGGTAAGCGTCTCTCAGAGCTATACCATGAATGCAATCCTTATTTGCTTGAGCTTAAACATTAATAGAATTCTTGTTTTTGGTTAAGCAGCCTTGAGTTGATATGGCACGAGAAGGAGGAGAAAGCGACATTCATCAACCTTAGCTGCTTGCCTGCAGTACTGACCTCTTCTTGTCTTCACAAAATCTATACCCTCTCCCAAATATCAAAACAGAGAAACCCCTCAATAAACGTACGTCTCAATTTTCTAAATGAGCTTTATATGGATTCTTCCTTTTGTGCATCTCTCTCACTCACTCATATTTGCTTTGACAGATTTGTCGGGTTAAGCTGGACGAGATTGACCAATTCCATAACATCAACATTAGATTAGCGCACAGTGTTTGCGGCCATTTCATAGACGAAGAATCATCATCATCAAATCTGCATTGTAGCTTCTGCGGAGTAAACTGCAACAGTAACGTAGGATCAGAAGTAGTGAGAACATTCCACATAACAATAACACTTGCAGACGAGGAAACCAAACTATACGCGTGGTGTACTGGTCAATCCGCATCAGCTATACTTCAGATATCTCCAGATGAATTCTGCGACCTCCATGAGGTAACCAAAAAAAAAAAAAAGTAATTATTTTGGTAGTAACAGTAAAAAATCAATAACAGAGTAATTATCAAATGTGGTTCAGGATGATCAGCTGATGTATCCATCTTCATTGGAGAACGAGTGGTTCCTAGTGGCATTAGCAAACAGCGGCAGTAACCGGAATAATTTAGTTTCCGGTCATCGGTTTAATACGGAGGGGACTTGCTGGGAAATCACACGCGCTCTCAAGATTTAAAAGCTATTTTTGAAAATCATTGTTTTATTAGTCAAAAATCATGATTAAGAAAACAAGAAAAGAACAGAATCTGACCGTGTTGTGTAAATTAACGACGTGGCTTAATGTCTGTTTTCTTTTTGGTTGTATTTTGGACCGTGTTTTAAAACGGTGGACTTTTCTGTGAAGATATTTCATTTATTACATCTAAAGGCTACTATTCGTCGTAGAAACAATCCAACGGTCAGGATTTATACAGATCGTAAGACAGCGTTACAAGAGGAAAGTTGTCATTAATCAATCTTTCTTCTCTATTATTACAGTCAGACACCATTTGTCTTGGAGTTGACACTATTCTGC